CCGAGCTCGGGTGACTGATACCAGACTGGTCTAAGGAAATGGGTAACCTTGAAGTTGGACATAAACCGGCTCCCGCAACTTACTTTATAGGTCTACCGACATTCAAATGTTCCTGTGATTCTAAACAGAAGCAGAATGCATGGCGCAACCCAACAGGAGACCAGTCAAAGCAAAAACGCGAACAATTTCATGCTTTGGCTATCAACTGCTTATCGCACTAATCACTAATACAGTTCCACGGCTACCATTGAGACGTGACAAATTTAGAATTCACCAGCTCTACAGTATACCAAATGAATAGAATTACTCCCTAGTGAGAGCCGTATCCGTTTATATAACCTGGTAATCTACTCAGCTGACTACTGGTAGTAATCTCGGATAATATGACCAGCGATTTGATTTAGAGTCTATAGCAGCTCCCTTAGAGTACATTATGGTTTGTCTTCTAAGCATTAAGGGACTTCTGGAAGGATCGTTAGAAGAGCTTGGTCAGGCTCGTTGCGAGCTTCACATTCACTCCATCTATGCATGTATATGGCTGAGACCTCAGGCTCACGCCAATAATTCATAGTAAATGCCGCCCCTGAACGTCGAAATGACTAATTGCTACGCATACATACACGCTCATTGTCCATAACGACATGCCAAATGTTGCTGAGCAAAAGATCGATTTACAATATCGATTGATTACATTGGGAATGGAAATGGATTCTATAAAACGGACAGTAGAAGTAAGGTCTGCCAGATGGCTCCACTAGTGCTCGGCAGGCACCGTCCCCTCTCAGACTCTTGGTCGTATTGGAGGGTGCTGTGAGTCCTAAGCGCTATTCCCAGAGCCCATTACGAGTTCAAATCTCTAAGTAGTGCTTCCTCCTCTATATGAATTTATTATTGCCTTGATTAACTTTATTTGAATATTCTCTTCAACACAACACACACACACACACACACACACACACCCACACTACTTGGGAAGATTAACGGAGCTTCTGTCAATCGGCGATTACTCGCCCTGTGAGAGTCCAGAGATAATTTGTCTGCCATCGATATTTGCGGCCGCGCAATTCTGAAGAGAGGAAAATGAGTAGAGGGAAGAGATAGAACATGAGAGGAAAATGAAGAAAGGGAAGAAAAAGGGGAAGGATGCAGTCTATTTCAGAGCCATTTGTATCAACAAATTCATCATAATATTAGATCTTCCCAGAGTCCAAGCTTCCATCTCCGGCAAGGCCTTCAGCTATGCGTTCACATTTGGATCTGAGGAGCCGTTTGTCCAAAGACAAACGTAGAAGAATCGTAATTTCACCCGCTGTGGGTGGGAAGAGAACGGGCTCTCTAGACCTTCTTCTTTATAGTTGGTTTCGTGCCTGACGCGTCATTCATTAGCTAGCCTAGATGGGAAAAAGGAGGAGGAAGAAGTCGTATTTTTTCGTCTTAGGGAAGGAAGGAGGAGGGGGGCTGGTCGTAGAAGTGTTTCTGCGCTGCGAGAAAAATTTTTTCCTGTTTTTCTGGTCAACTCCTGCTTTTCTTCAATTGGCGGCCGCCGCTGAACTGCTATACAATCATTAAATCATTTTTAATTGAGGAATCTATGGTATTCATTTGGTCAAGATCCCCCTTCCAGCTGAACGGTAAAACTTTGGGGAATAAACTGTGAAGGGAGGTCGTACCTATCCGCTATTCCACACAACAATATGCTCTGCTGGTCTGGGAGGATAGCAGTACTGAATTCCACGTTGGTAGGTCCCAAATGTCATGACCGAACTGAGGCTGAATCACATTTGATTGCCACTATGATACTAAAGGTAGAGGTAGAATGCGCGGCGCACAGAAAATGACAGAAATTAGCAAAATGAGCGACTCGTCTACGGGCTGCTTCTTCTCAGGGTACATCATCGCTGGGAGAATCCCATTAGGCGGAGGGGAATATTCCGTAAGTTGGGTGGAGGATCGAGTTTGGTCGGTGAGGGTCTGCTCCTTCCCCCGGTAAAATTTTTAGACAATGGAACGAAATGAAAGAATTTGGGGACGATGGTAGGTAGAATGTGGGAACGGAGGTCTACTGGAAAGAAAACTTCAAGCGGGAGAGTCGTGCTGACACCGCTTCGGCACCGATGCTGTCCCCTGACCCTTCTGTGGTCCTTCATATCACCCCCGCACTGCTCTCCGGTTTCTGGTCATGCTTTTTTCCTCAACCGCGTCCATACTTCACGATTCGATCGATTCAAATAAGCGATTGCGCCCGACCACGCTCTGTTGGTAATCTTGACAGCTCCAACGCTCGCAAGGAATGTCTGCCCTGAATGTGATTGAATTTGTAGTCACAGCGTCCCAACGGTTAGCGAAGAAGCGCGCTCTGTCGCTGCCCACTCACTACCTCAAATAGCGCGAACGAGTCGCTCAAGTCGCGAAGTATGAACACAGCCTAACTATCACAAAAGAGCACAGGATATATTATTTTAGAAGCGCGCTCGGCTGATAGAAAGCTGTTCCATGGATATTCTCCTTCACTCACACAGGACTCCAATCCTGCGTAATCACTCTGCGGAAACCTCAACTGAGAGAAAATGAAACCTCAACAAAAACCCAAGCAGTGTGGACGTTCGCTGATCGGGATTTGTTTTAGTTCATGTAATGCGTTTGTAATTTTTTCAATTTTTTAAGGGTTAGTGCAAATATTACACCTCAGTACATAGCGCATTACTAAATTTTCAGTTTTCACCGAACAACGTGGTGTACTGCGAGGATGCGTCGATCGACTGTTGTTATTCGGTCTCGACGACGATGTTCGAAACGTATTATCTACCTACAACAGTCAGCGAGTATGCAGAGAAACGAACCGCAAAATTCTACGTCTCTACCCACTGAGTACCGACAGTGATGTGGTAAGTCTGCCAGTTTAATTTGACGTGGATTCCCTTAGAATGACAGTCTGAATAATTAGGCAAAAATATATTTCCGATTGCTGTGGGCAGAAAAATACGTTCAACGAAACGGTCATAATTGGACAATAACCTAAAAGCCTTCTCGTGATAAGGAATCAATACATTCTTTTTACATATCTTTTTCTGCTTTTTTCTCGAAAATGTGGCGAGCCCGAGTGATATGCCATTTATCAATATAATAAAATTTAATGCGAGCATGGGGAGCATTTTTCTTTTTTTCTGTGCGCCGGAATAGTAGACTATGCAAGACTGGTCACAGCGACAATAAAAAATCATCCAATAGTACTTCTGTAATTTTTTTCGTTTTCTAGTGCCCCTAGACATGCAGAACATTTATCTCCTTATCTCCTCATAGCAGTTTTTTTTCTTCTCAAAGTCCCCCCCTAATCAACGTTCGATGCCGCTGACGTGGATGAGGAGTGAAGGGGAGAGGGGGTGGGGGTGGAAGGCAAGGCTGCGCGACAAGGCCACAGCGGCTCTGGCCATCTGCGCTTTCGTGAGGTTCAGCCCTGGGGATGAAGGGACCAAATAAGCTTTAAATGGCACGCGATCCAAAACCACCCAACATTCTGGGGTGTAAGGGATCCCTGTAGGCAAGCTACTTTTTGCCTTGAACGCCGCCAACGTTTTGCACAAAGAAAATGCTTTTTCAGCTTAACGACGTTAAATTATCAACGCTTTATCGATAATTAGTTCCATGCTGTTAATCACTTCCCTCGAAAGCATGGTCCGCCATCAGGTATAGAAGTTTAAAATATGGTGTCGGGAGGGTGATGTGATCTGCGACGAACAACTCTGTACCGGTTTTGTGGCCGAAAAACCTAAAGGAAAGGCGCTATAGCTCAATATAGGTCCCTCTTCAGTGACTCCGTCCCCAGACTCCGCCTTCGAGGACCGCCTCTCAGTGAGAAACGAAGCTGCAGGGCGAAAAACCATGAAAATCGTCAGCGCTTGTAACGGTCTTAAGAGTTGTGCAACGGGGAAGACCAGCCTTGCAATTGGGGGCAGTTGTTGGAGATGAGCTCTTAGCACGACAAACTGGGGTAGGGTTCTATTTGGGGCACCTGGCATGTTTTTTCTTCTTTTTTTTTCTTCACTATCGAGTTACTCAGCACCCAGTCGTCCTACATACAGGGGGGGGGCCAAAAAAAAGTCATTCTGGCCGAGTCACATATGAGCGAAGTTTTCGCAGCCCAGACAGAGGAAGTGGATATGAGTACCAGGGCGGAAGATACCCAAGATCTTCCCCTATAAGCTGGAGCAGGCTGCCGCCAATCGCCTTCATGTACGCCAAAATATGAAGTCATCTCCAGTCGCGGCCTGACTGGAGAACACTCTTTTGGAATTTCACTCGCCCTCCATAACAGTCTGCGAAACTTCTTTGAATAAGTCATGCCACAGATAGCTATCTGGAAGGTCAGTACTGCTTCGATCTGAAGGACCTCCTCACATTCGAGGACACCTACGGCAACACGTCGCTACGTTCTAGTGACATTCGCCTCTTCACCGTATTCGCGAGGCCGCGAGTTGATGCTGGACCGGGGACCCGGGTTCTGGAAAGGGGAAGACCGATATTTTCTTTGTAGACCCCGACTGAAGGTGAGCGCTGGCGGTTACATCAAGTAACTCGAGAAGAATATCCTCCCTACATGTGGTCGCCCGTACCTTCTTGGAGACCTTGTGCTGCTACAGGTTTGGGTGCCACCACATGGAATCAAAGGGTTTTGGAAAAACTCCCGCCTACTTGGAATGGAAGAACGTTGAGTACCTGGAAAAGATCTAGTATTTAAGCGGGGGTCCTGAACTAAACCCCCTCAATTACTCGGTTCGGGCGAGCTCAGAGGTGGATCTAACATGCGCGGAGAATCAACGCTTGCTCATCCGGTACCCACTCACTTTCGCGCGGCCGAATCTCTCGATGGCGCTCCTCCAGAAGGCTGTGGCGGAGTATCATTATAGTATTTAATGTGCTCTTTAATATGGTAGTAAAAATGTCCGATAAAAATTTAATAAAGTGTAACCTTATCAGCGCGCCTTGCCAAAAGTCCATGGAGCGAAAATGGACTTTTTTTTTTGGCCCTCCCCTGTCATATGCAAACCCGCAAATTCGCGTATCTTGGATGGAGGAATGATTGGGTGTTGGGGCTCTTGCTCGAACGAACAAAATTGAATGAAAAGTTGACAAAAGCACCAAAAGTCAAAATTTCAAAAGGAAAATAAAAACTGCATACTGTGGACTTGGATTTTTCATGCCCCTATCACCATTGGTCTCCTCTCCGACCTAGCGCGTTATCGTCAGTGTCCACGGCAACACTCGCCCCCACCATTCAGGTATTCATCTACCTGGACATTGACTCGCAATACACTCGCCATAAAGTCAATTAATCGCCATACGGTGAGCGCGGGCGCAGGTTGTCCGACTAGGGAGGGTGGGCATATTGACTGGTCTGTGAGTGCATAGCCATTCTATCGAGCTCAGCTGACGTCGGTTATTCTTAGGCACAAGGAATACCCGCCCGAGAGGCTGTTTGCAAATCAAGGACCACAAAAATTTTTCGTATGGCTTCCGCATGGGTATGGATTTTCTTCGGAATCGTACACCTCCTGCGGCGGCGATAACGCCACAGAGTCGGTCCGATCTTGTAGTGCAGGGCAGCACACGGGTACAAAGCATCGATGAGTCTGATGCAAGGGTGGTGCCAGTACGACTCCCCCAATCCTGAAAGGAAGGTTCTCGAGACGACTGTTTCTTCCCCAACACCCACCTACCACTTTTCTACAAATTCCCAGCTTCCTAGCAAATTTCACCCAAAAAATTTTCATTTCTTCCGTCGATTCGAGCGGGGAGGGGGCGGGCGGGGTGGGTAGAAAATAGTACATGTGGGACGGAAAAAGCTGCGAGGGGAAGTTCTGATTTCCTCCAACTTCCTACCACTTTTTCCGGAGTTTTCCGAAGATTTTCCTACTTTTCCCTAACAATCATTCGTTTGAAATGCCTCCTTTATGTAATTCGTTCTGCTTAACAGTTTACCTAATTATTGGGTGAGCTCAAAGGGTAAAAAGGTGGCGCTTGTCACCTGTAGGTACGCCACAACATAAATGACTCTCTCCCTGAGCGTCTATTGCTGATTGAACCCAGCCGGTCGAGCCGCCCAGACCTGGGGGTCTAGTTGCTGCTTGAGCTCAGCCGTTCAAACCGCCTGGACCTCCTAGGCTCGTCTGCGCTCTTTTACTACTACCTGTGCTCTACTGCCTATAGTTTGATCAAACCTCACACATTCCAGCTTTCCACACATATAAACTAACTAGCCAAACTTCAGGCTCTGCCCCTACCCCTGAAACGTCCTCCTAGGGTTCGACATATGTTTTTTCGTACCTCTCGATGCTCAGACAGGTACTAGCCTTCCTGTGTCCGCGTTCTCGCCTTTTGCGGCAGATCATAGCGGAAAGTTAAAGTAGTCAAGTAATTCACACTAAGTTATTCTGCACTCCCTTTCGCCCAGAATATGAGAACAGGAGAAACACGAGTAGAACGACCACCACAGATTCATTGGCTTGTCGGTCGTTTGAACCATGCTATTTAAGCCAGCCACAACTGACACGAGAAATCGGAGGTGTAGCCCAGGACCTCCCGAAGTAAACGCAGATAGCACGCGAAGCGAACCAGCATTTCTGACTAACCACTGACTGACTCGCCATGTACTTTGTCGTCAAAACGATTAGGTCATGACAGCCTCCATTGATTCCACGGCGCCAACAGGGAGAGGGGAGCTCAGTTCCTGTCCCAAAAAGCCCTAGACCCAGCGCAGACGAATAGGATCGCCAAAGAATCTTCTGCAGAGAAGGCATACTTTCCAAGTCTAAACTTTGATTGGGAGGAAAGGGGAAGGACACCGCAGGCGCTACTGAGTGGTCCACCTGCGCTCTCCCTCCCACCACACAACCTATGTAGCGCATTTCAGGGTCTATTCGCAAAAAAAAACTCGTGATACGGTAAGACCGCACACTTGTATCTTTTTTTCCAGCTTTCGAGATCACGCTTTTATTCAACAGTTTCTATTGTAGAGTGGCTTCCCAGCGCTAACGGAGGGGCGGCGGTTAGAGAACCGGGTTAGCCACAGGCACTCTGGTAGTCCTGGCCATCTTCCTCACACCAAGCGTGGTGATCAATTTTTCGCTCAGCAGCTGCAGGTTGAAAGAGCGCGGACGAGCCAGTCCTGCACAGCATGCCTTCGCCGGTATTGCGTTACCTAGAACGACTTAAGGCAGCGCGACGAATACCGCTTCGGTCGCGCGTTTCAACGCGATCGATGCGCATGATTCAGACGGCATCGATCGCGCTGAACGCGTGCACGAAACGCTCTCGTCGCGAAGTCTGAACGCTGCCTAGCTGGCACGCTACATGACTGACTGACTTGCGGTATCACACCCACTCTTGTTATTTGACAAGACACATCGAGAACTCATTCGCCGCAGCACTGGCACCTTGAGTCAGGGCGCGTCGTTGTTGGAGATTCCCCAGAAGGGGCGGGGGTCGTATCTGGCCGCTCGGATGGGGAGAGGGTCGTATTTTGGAAGAAAAAAATTTCTTGATAGTTGGTTTTTCTTGTTTCGATAAAGAGGGGTCTTATTTGCTCGTCGTTGAGAGAGGGGGTCGTACTTCTCTCCCGACCTTTTGAGAGGGGTTGCTGACTTTTTGTGGTTTTTGCTGTTTCATGTCTACTAGATACTCCCCTCCCTGACAGCTCGACGAGGAGGGAACCAGGGGGGGGGTCGTACCAATTCGCTACAGAAAAGGGGGGCTGGGTCCCACGGACTCGATCAAAATCCCCAACCAATGATGTGCTCTGCCTTGAGTCTACTGGACGTGGAAGGTAGTGCCCAAACGCGTGCCAAGCAGCCAAAAATACTAGCTAGTGCTCACGAGGAAGGCGCAGCCAAGTCAAAGACCTTCTCTCCCTCGATCCTCGATGTTCCCCACATTGGAACTCGGGTAACTATCACGAAAATGACAGCGTAATAGTAATGTGTTTGCACCTAAGCCCAGAAAATAAGAACTTTAGATGGACCTCTATAAAGACCGTAGCTTATGCATCAGTTAACAGCTGAACGGACTTCAACTGTCAGAATAGTCCAATTTATGGCAATCGCCCATGCGAATTTCACAATTCAAAAAGAAATGACGTCTACGTGGGTGATCCACGTCGCTTTGCAGATATCTCGTCAACGATTCCAATCTACGGTCATGTGCAATAAAATTACTTACCATGTCAGTTATGTGAACGTATAATGTGATTTCGTTTGTGGAATTGGCCTAGGCAATAGCGTTAAGATCACCTTGGAAACACCGTCGGACGC